TGCTTGCGGACGCCCTCTCTCGGCGTCCCGACTATGAGTTGGCCCACATCACGCGGGTGACAACGGATCTATATAATCGGATACGCATGGCGTATCGGGACGATGAGGCTGTTGTGCCTATCGTCAAGCTCCTTATGGCCGGAACGAGCACGAAGTCCGACTGGCTCTCGTCACGACAGCGCTCACGGCTCCACCGATATAAATTGAAGGAGGGCCTCCTCTATTACCGGGTGGAGCCCACTGATCCTCCACGGGTGGTTGTACCCAACGACGAGGATCTGAAGTTCGACATCCTCGCGGAGGCGCATGACGCGCCCTCCAGCGGCCACTTGGGCCGCGAGAAGACCTTTCTGTCGGTCTCTCAGTCTTTCTGGTGGACCCACATGTACAAGTGGGTCGCCCGGTATGTTAAGACATGTGAAACATGTCAGCGGGTCAAACCCGCAGGGCACTCTTCGGCTCCACTACAGAGCCTGCCCGTACCGGCTGACTGTTGGAAGTCGATGAGTTTTGACTTCATCTTTGGGCTTCCCGCCGACGGACACGGCAACACCGAAATTTTGGTGTTCGTGTGTCGGCTGATCAAGATGATACATCTTGCTCCAGTTCCCGTCACTGTTATGGGCGAATAAATTGCAAGGTTGCTCGTCGATGGCGTGTTCCGCTTTCACGGTCTCCCGGAGACGATTGTCTCGGACCGAGACCCGCGGTTCACTGCTGCGTTTTGAAAAACGCTGTTCCCTTTACTGGGAACTTGTCTGCAGATGTCCACTGCGGACCATCCGCAGACAGACGGCCAAACAGAGCGCGTCAATCGAGTGCTCGAGGATACTCTGCGCAGTGTGTGCGCGGCAGCACCACGTACGTGGTCGACGCAGCTTCCAGTTGTTGAGTTTGCGCTCAACAACGCGGTGCACGCGTCCACGGGGCTCACGCCGTTCTACTTGAACGGCTTCCGCCACCCCAGAGTGCCTCTCACGCTTCGAGGAGACAGTGACTTCTCTATTCTAAGTGGGGGAGAGGCTCGGAAAGCCCTTTCCTCCCAGGTCTCGGATGTGAGGCCAGTTTCGCTGCGGAAACAGGTGGAATCCTTTATGGATACCAAGCTGAACATTGTCAGCAGGGTCCGCGATGCCATGGCAGCGGCCCAAGATAAACAAAAGGAGTACTCGGACAAACAAGGAAGAGGAAACTTAAGTATATTTGAGGTTGGGGACTTAGTGTTGCTAGACACGAGGAACCTACCTCATGACACTGTCAGCTCTGTCGGCAGCAACAAGCTCAAGCACCGCTTCATCGGACCTTTTGCAGTCCTGGCCAGACATGGTGCGTCGTACACCATCGACCTTCCAAAGTCAATGGCGACGCACCCGACGTTCTATGTCGGACGTCTTAAGCGGTACTTTGACCCGCAGGGGGTTGCTGACTCTCAGACCCCCCTTGACCCAGCTCCTCGAAGCGAGGGCCGGTCACAGTCGTCGACGAGGTCGTCGGAGCAGGCACCCAAGCCTCGGTCGGGACGGCAAGGCTGCGGTCAAGACCGTACGCCGGAGGGGCTCCATACGAACGGACCCAGGCGCCATACGCCGAGTACGCTGAGTACGCCGGGTACGCACCATACGCGTACGTCTGGGAGTGTGCCGCAGGCGGCTCCGGACGTGGCAATAAAGCCTTGATCCGTCGGATCATGCGAAAGGCCTCGTCCAGATCGGTCGAAGAGGCCCGGCGATCCACCCGCAGGTCCAGGCGGCCCGCAAGACGAGCGAGCTCGCCCTGATTCCCGGCCTGGGCGGCAGCATTACCGCCAGTCCCAAGGCCAAGTGCAATCTCAAGCACGAGGACACGTTGACGGAGGCGGTCAACCTCAGGGTCCTGTGTCGGACCCGCAGTCGGAGCGCTCGGACGAGAGTGGCTCTCGGGAGGCGCCGAGTACTCGTACTCGTACGAGGGCACCTCCGCGCCTGCTTGACCGGAATGGAGAAGTCCACTTCCACGTGGAGCGGATCCTCCAGGAGCAACGGCGTCGCGGTAAGCGACAGCTCCTCGTGAAGTGGAGGGGTTATGCCCACTCCGAGAACTCGTGGGAGCCGATTGAACGGCTCCTGATTGACTGCCCGAAGGCTGTCGCAATCTGGGAACAGAAGCGGCGGCAGCTTCATAAGTAGTCCGGGGCTTCTTGCCCGAACGGGGTACGGACGCTGAATACATACCGTACCCGCGCTCATCGTGAGCGCTAGAAGCCGTGCGCTTCAGGATGTCCCTTGGCAGCATACGCTTGCTGATCAAGTGGGCAAACCTCACACGAAGATCACGCTGGTCCAGGATGCGGGACAGCAGCTGATCTTCATGGAGTTCCCGTAACTCCGTGGGTGAGTACTTAAGAGTCTCAACCCATGCCCAGAACATGTCCTCACAAGAATTCCACGCGGGACAGTTCTCGGGCATAACCCAGGGGTATCCCCAAAGAGGATAGAGACCACCCCGGGTCTCGGGCTTCTTACGACAAGTCGTGAAGTCCTTAAGGGGAATGCGGTGTGGCGCGAGAAGCACACACCGAGCAGCCTCCAAGTTGTCGACGAACAACTGTTCTTTCTGAACAAGGGCTCGTTCATAGATGCCCCTAGAAGTGTGGCCACCCACAAGGCCACGAGGAGCGACGAGAAACTCTAAGAAGAGGTCAGCCCCAGAGCTCTCCTCGGGGGGCCAATACCCTCTTGAGTTCATGGCAGCTCCCTGGCTGACGGGTGCCACCACCGAGCCCCCACGCACACGCTGGGCAGCTTGGAACTCCTCCTGCTGCTGGTCGAGGTCATTCGAGACCTCCCGAGGCTCAACGATAGCACCCTCCTCTTCCTCTTCTTCCTCCTTCTCCTCCTCTTCATTCGAGGAGTCGAAGATACTCCGATAGGAGCGACGAGTCTCCTTCTCCTCGCGGAGTGGAGACTTAGAGGCTGTACGCTTCGTTGAAAGCTTGGCGCCTTCGGCTTTAGAGGCCTTAGCACGCGCAAGACCCTCGGCAAGCGAGAGACGTTTGCGAGGATTATCTTCCTCATCGCCACCGGCTTTGGGAGCGGCCTTAGCCTTGACGGCCGGACTCTCGGAGCGCACAGAGGTCCTGGGCCTGTGATCACCTTGATCACTAGCGAGCGACTGCACGCTGTCATCTTTGTGCTCACTGGGTACTGGGCTGTGCCCTCCCACAGAGTCCGCAGGAGCATGGTGAGTGCTCTCGGACTCGGCTTCGTCCTCACTGCCAGAGTTGAACTCATGTTCCACGAACCGAGGGTTCGGACGATTGTCAGAGGCCGAGGGTGACAGGCTGCGGCGCTTGCTTGCGCGCTTGTCCACAGCCGCGTCACCCGAGGAACCGATCGCCTCGGAGGCCACCTGAGTAGCCTCCTTGAGTGCAGAGCCTTTGCCGTGAGGCTTAGTGCTCTTGGCTTGCGCCTTACCGGCAGCAGCCTTGGAGCGTGTCTTCGCACCGCTCTTTGCAGTGCCACGAGGCATGATAACGGTCGAATTGGAGACCTAGACGAAGAGCGCACAGGTTGTTGCTCGAGGCTCTAACTGTGAAGTGAGCCTCCGCCGCGCTCGCGCGGCCAAGTCGATGGTTTTCGACTTTGAGAATGAGCGTTTGTGACGAACATCTCTTCATTCTGATTGGTCGGTAAACCGAACCTAAGTGGGGGAGGATGTAACGGGGTACGTAGCCCTAAGTGTACCCTGGTTACATGAAGTGTGACACTTCACACTTCAACCGTATGACACGTCATACTCCGGGATACTTGGTACAAGGTACCAAGGTCGTTCAAAGCCAACCATTGGTCAAACGACATTGCATTTCTATAGGTAACTTATAGTTTGTATTAAACCCAAACTTAACCTACCTATAAATATACTCAGTTTACAATCTACCTTATTTAGGTCACTTCGCTCTCTTGAATTAAAGAGGGGACCTGTGAACTGCCGTTCACTGAGAGTTTGTATACTCTCGGGAGATAACTTCCTCTAGCGCAAGGTGCTGTGTGACCCCGTCACATTGCCACTACCCAGACTTGCATGGATTTTGGCAAAATACTGTCGCGGTAATCCTCCGTAGGTCGGGGTCATGTATGTAGCAGGCCGACGTAGGAATTTAGGTCTATCACGTAAATGTAAAGTTTTTCTTGTATTCTTGAGCACTTCTCTTGTAAGAAGGAAAATCATGACTGAGCTTCTACCTAAAGCTCCAAGCTGGGCACTACCGTCTTACCCCGCACAGAGCGCCCAGGCATACTAATAAAATATAGCGCCCAGTGAGCGCTTTATTCGTTTTGAGTGCCTAGGCGCTATTCTACGAGCAAACTTCTTAACGTTGAAGGACGCACAGGTCAGGTGGAGATTATACAGCTACAAATAGATATGCATGTACGTCACTTTATTATGTGCTGACGGCTCACCTGATCGAAGCATGGATTGGCATACGGCTGGTCCATGGATCGATTCTGGTTGTGTCAATTGAGGGCCCATCAGGGAAGAGGTACATGTAATTCCCCGCACACAAAAGGTATGTCAAAGCTTGTTCAGATATTTTTAGAATGAGCAGTTGAGCGTTGATGGTCTCAACTACAATAAAAGAATGGGTGGAGAGTAGATTTCTACATGCATTAGAGTCGTTCTAAACTCATTGGCTTAGAGCTCATTAATTTAATAGAACGCTTCCCGCGGTGTGTTCTTGTATTCTACTTCACGTTGTAATCGAGGTTACACACTGTTCTGAACCACATCATAATATTTTTTAGTACGCCTGGGTGCTTTGTGCGGGGTAAGACGGTAGGCTCCTTGAGATACCAGTCCGTACATATGTCGATACTTTTGTCGTCGAGATCGAGTGTAAGACACTGTAGTCTATTAATAGCAATCAATTCTATTTACTGTGTTTTGAAAGTCTCGCACTCCTATTTCTTTCAGCTGAAAGACATTTGAAACGTTTGGCGGGACCCCGGGGTCCCGCATAAAATATGCTGGGTATTGTGTTATTTTGGGCAGTCGCGACTTGTGACACAATCTTCAGTTTCGATCGGGTGTCGCTGCGGAAAATGTCGTCTCGGGCGTCTGGCGGCTTACGCTCAACCGTCCCGCCTCGAAAGCGTGCAAAACGAGTCGACAGGAAAGAGACCGCGTATATACGTGTATGTGAAAAGCTAGGAGAAGATACCGTTAAGAAGATTCGTAGCGACTGGGATCAAATGAATACAAGGCGAGATGGAAGCGAGTGGCAACAGTCAGAAGGAATAGTCATTCAGTTTCTTCAACAAGGATTATCGGAGCGAGAAATTCGAGCTGTTATACCTGTGGGTGGTAGCCGCATTGCAAGACTGCGGAAAGTACTGGAGGAAGGAGTTGAAACGTTACACACTCGTCGCGAGCCACAACGACCTTGGCATGCACTAGTGACGATGTTATTGCTGCACTGAAGAAACACTGTGAGACTTGGCTACTTGAAGACGGGTTTCCGTGTGCTCATAGACGACCTCGGCAGTACTTCACCGAGCCTAATCTGAAATGGACAGTCGTTCACGGTAGGTATGAAAAAAAACTTACACGTACAAACCATACGGCGCGTGTCATGAGTTATTCCCGGTTCATACAATACGTTCACTACTTCTACCCTGGTGTACGTCTTACTCGCACCGCTGAGGATGTTTGTGACTGCTGCGTACGCATCGATATTTAACTGAAACAACCTGATCTCAGCGATGATGAACGGCAGTCTCTTCATCCAAAAAAACAAATGCATCTCGATAGTGCCATGGGCCGGCGATTTATTTCTTCTTTTATAAAATTCTACTCAGCGTTACATGCACCAGAACAAAGCCTTCCCGAATGTATTATTCCTGATACTTACGATGCAGTTTCCGAATGTGGAGATCTTCCTCATTTACAGTGTCATGACGAAAAATGACATGAAAATTGGCCAACAAATCGAATCATCAGCTTTGAATGCAGAAGATTCAGTTTTAACGGCGCAATGTGTCATTCAGATCCAGGCAGAAGATTATAGAGGTGGAATATCCATGCCGTACTATGGTCATGTTCGCCCTTCGGCGAATTATTTCAACAGCAATCTCATTTTGCAGAACTTTGTAGTGGCAGACATCAGCAATGGTGTCAACAACGTGTATTTCTATGACGAACGAGCGCAAGGAAAAGATGCTAATGCGCTATGTAGCTTACGTTTGAACTACCATCTTTCAATTATATCACGAGCTAAGCACAACGAGGTAGTATATTGGACAATTGTGTGGGGCAGAACAAATCGAAAGCAGTTTTAGTGTTCTTTGCATTTCTTTCGGTGATATTTCCCTACAAGAAAGTAGTGCTTGTTATTTACTACTTGGACACTCTCACAATATTGCTGACCGCGTTATTGCTTGGTGTCAACGGGCAACTCGAGGATTGAACTTATATACACCAAAAGAATTGATTAAAGAGGTGAACAAGGTGAAAAGTGTACAGGGTGTGTTTTTAGATCACACTGATGCCAATCGACCATTCTATGGGGGCTGGAACGAGTTGTTGAGCAAATACTTTATCCCACCGCCTGGGGGTTACACCTCAAACTACCTTTTTGAGATTGATTGCGGAGTTTGTACTGCTCGTAGTACAGCAGGAACGTCGGATGAAAACTCGATTTCTTTCTCGATGGTTGCCCGTGGAAACATTGAAGCTGTTCGAAAAGCTGTTCTGGCGGATCTATTCGGCCCCACGGTCAAGAAAATTTTTGAAGCGTCTCTTTCATCCATGCGACTCCCTCGCCACCCTGTCAAGGAGCTATCAGCGAGCAGGTTAAAATCACTATCAGCTAAATACTTCTCCATTCCCTCTCAGCACTTGCACTATTATTAAAACGTACCAGAGTCATTACAGAATGTCAAGGCCACGTCCAGCGACACCAACAGTAGCAAAAAGAAGAAGAAGTTGAAAAAAAAGACAAGCACTTCAGCAAAGCCACGCAGTAACCAACCTTCCATCTTGCAGTTCTTCACGTCACACACACAACAGAAAGAATAAGTACTTCAAGTTCAGTCATACTAATTTCAAATCAACTTAAAAATGATACCGGTTTCTGATGGGGATACCGGGGTCCCGGTGGGACCCCGGGGTCCCGCCAAACGTTTCATTTGTCATCTTCTAGTGATAGTTATCAAAAATCTTGATTTGCAAATGCTTCCTATATTTATTATTTTCTGCGGTTTGTTTTACTGAATTTTAAAATTCCCACCCTAAGTGCGTTTTGAAAGCATGTGTAAGATAATGACTGGTGGAGATAGAGAGGAAGTTTTTAACAGAGCTAAGTCAACATTTAGTTTCTATATTGGCAGCGGAATGGACGACCTTGCTCCCTTAGCGGACGTGGAGAATGCCTATGAAGCCGAGGGTACAGCTCAACGTCGTCGGTATGCCGTGCTGTCAACGCACGGGTCGAAAGAAGAGGCTATAGCAGCCATGATGCTGCGAGACGGATGGACGTTTCGGTTCCTCTATAATTATGGACCTTTTGGTTCATTTTCTGTCTACGAGTGCTCATCACACACAAACTGCATGAAGTTTGTCCGTCTCGTCTCCAGCAAGGACGAATCAGGGGAAATCTTAATAAGTCTACAATCCAGCGGTATTCACATCGGTCCCGAGTTAAATGGACGGAAATACGGAATTTCCGTGCTTGTGAAGCGGGAAGTTGATGCTATACTTTCTGGGGGAGCAGGCCCGAAAAAGTGCCTTAAGATTCTTCAGGAGAACCATGTTGGCAACGCGGCTATGCTCAGTATTCTTCCGACTACTGCCCAACTCAAGAACCGGAAGGCAAGGCTCACCAAAAAAGATGAAGGTAATTTTCTGTTATTGTAATTATGAAATTGCTCTAATGTATTAATCTTTAAAATTTTAAGGAAACTTGAAAATAACTACACCTGCCGCCCTACTCGAATGGAGTCACGGCAAGATGTGCAAGTCTGCGGAGGCTTTTTACGGACAAACGCCTCCGATTGTACGGGTGAGCCGAGGTTCGACTCTTTCTTGGGAGACGCGATGGATGAAATGATAGTTCTGCACGTATTCCAGCACCCTGTTGTCGGAGGAGACATCGTTTGGGATTATTTTCTCTAGTCGGAGAATTATGCTGAACATTTGGAGTGCCGTGTTAGGACAGGAAAGAGGCGGTATACTGGCCGCAACGGATGGTACTTACAAGCTACACTTCGGCGGATGGACTTAGTGAACTTTGGGACCTTCGGGACTCGGTATGTACGCGGTGGCTAATCTAAGTATTACGCACCATGTTCATGTTTGTCCGCACTGAGCATGCACTAGCGTATCGTGAGCTCTTCAAAATCATGAGACGGTTTAGTAAGATGCTGTTCAACTCTGATTTGAAGATTCGATTTAGAAGCCTCGATCATGCTACATGCATTTCAAGCCCTTTTAAGGAGGTGTGGCCTGATGTAACGCTTCTAACCTGCTGGCCCCACTTCGCCCGAAAAAGTAGAGAAAAGGCTCGGGAACTACTTCACGACGAAAGCTACTTCGAAGATGTCGTCTACCCGCATTTAAAGTGGCTATATCACGCGAAGACGAGAGACCAGCTTGCGGAATTGGTCAAATTGTGCGTTAAGAAGTGGAAGCAAGACGGACACGTTGCGTACGCTGACTGGTTTGAGCTGACCTACGTGTCACCACCGTGGGGTTCCTGGTTTGTGGGTGCAGCCGGGTCTGTGCAGGAAATCCTCCCCTCTCAGAACCCACTAGAATCGTATCACCGAGCCATTAAAAAGGCAGCTGTGAACTCGCTGCGAGCAAACACGGCGACGGTCCTGAACAGCTCACTTCCTGGTATTCTGCGTGTGTCTACAATGGATCAAGCATCGATTACGCTGCGTCGTTATGGAGAAGGTTTGTACTAATAATTTATTGCTGCAAGTTACATTTGTACTAAAAAAAACATTTTTTTGTCGGCAAGGTCAATCGTAAGTGAGTGCTTTGTTCGAGCGCGAGTGCTTCTGGGTGACAAACAGAATTATCTTTGTCTCTGTAAACCACGCTCTAAGGTCGTGCGGGCCATTGCTTTCAATAGACCCGACTATGTGATCAGCCCGCTGCAGCCATACACCGGTATCCCAGTCACTCCGGCTCGAGTAAAGCGCGTGACAGACTTAACCAAAGGTAAAATTCCACGCGGTAAGTCCATCACAGACGCACCGCTGCTCTTTACGTCGCTACATTTCGTCACAGTTCACGACGAAACTCTGGAAACGCTGGTACACAAACCAACTTGGCGGTCGAATGAGGTAAAGTGTAATTGCACGGTTTGGAGTATATGGTATTGTTAACGTGTCATTCGTAATTTCTATTATTTGTAGATTGAAACTATAAGACGTTGCTGCACCTGCGACAGCAAAGACGTGCGCCAAAGTGGTTGGAACTGCGAACACGTCCTGTCAACGCTGTCGCTACTCGGTAAACTTAGTATGGATGACGCCCTATGAGCCATACCCGCTCGTCGTTTACCAGGACGACAGCCAAAACGTCGTGGAGCCCTCGTACGGGATTCTAGCGACGAGCACTTCTTTAGTGCTAAGAACCTCATGCAACAGCTAACGAAAGCTCCGGGAAGATGCCTCCACTGATCAATCATGCACGAGTTCGAGGTAGTTGACAACGGCGAAAAGAAACGGGAGAGCCTCGTTGGAAAAGTGATTGCGTGGCGGGCGAATGGAGGAAGATACGCTTGGCCAGTTCGTTTTTCAGATGGAGAGGTCATAGTGATGCAGTGTGAGGAGCTGGCTACTGCATTGGCACGTAGCTACACGCTCGGTTTTGACATCACTAACACACCGGAATAGTAGTAAACACGCAGCTCTTTACTCGTAAAAGATCTCCGGGAGACTACTTAATGTCATTGCATGATTTTTACTCGTAAAACCTCCATTTTTTCTCTTTACTCGCAAGTGAGCCAACTTTTACTTGAAATTAAGCTTTTCCCGTTAGGTTTTGTCGCAGCTCAGTAAATATGTAGCGATACTACACCCATATTAAGGGCGGATAGATCGGCCTATTCGCTTCCGCTACACGCACTCACTTACGCAGAAACGGGCTGAGAGCGCTACAATTTGGGCGTTGCGAGAGCGAGGTTTATCTCCAAAATCCGATGCGTTAGCCAAAACCACCAGCTCGAACTGGTCAATCAGCAGAGACAAAAAAATTCCCAAGATTTATGAATACAAAATAGAAGGTTAATTAGCTGAAAAATGGCTATGGTGGAGAGAAATTTTCTCAATTAGTTAGGTCAGGGGAATTTCGTCAAGCATATGCGGTTTGTAAAGTCGCGTTTGGATCATATAACGATGCTGAGTGAGATATAGTTGACCTAGGAGGAAGAGGGCGTGACAAATTGGCTTGCACAAGGCTTAAAATTAATATTCTTCGACAGGCGTAATCTTGGGTGTATTTTATCCAATAGAGCTTTTTTTTCGTCGATATACGATCCTTAACCCCTTGGTTCCCAACGTCGTAACTTACGACATAACGAAATTGCTATGTCGTAAGTTACGACATAATGAGACTTACATTAGGAAATGGCTCAAGCAATACTTTAACCAAGTCATTTAAATATAATAAGGCTCAAGAGGTAACTGGGGTAAATCCAAAAACAAGACAGGGAAAGGGGTGCAGAAAATCAGTTCCCACTGGATATTTTCCCGCGCCCAGCCACTAGACCTGTAAGACCACTCATTCCAGAATTTGCCGGATGGCGCGCATCCGGTCCAGCAAACGCGGAAAGACCGCCGCCGTTGCCACCGTCGCTCGAGACATCGACTTTCGCCATTTCTGGAGGCAGCTGAAGGCGGTAGGCTGGACATCAAAAAGACCAAGCGGCCTCGCGAGAGAGCGGAGCTACACAAGCCCCGATGGAGCTAACGTGCTCATTGGCGAGAGCGCGCTAGTCGCACACGCTCTGAAGTCGGGATTGCTGGGCGAGAGTGAGAACGTAGACGACGTAGACATCGGAGACAAGGGCGTTGTGGATGAGAGTCCGGCGAGTAAGGAGGTAGGAGATGTGGAGGTGGCGGAAGCGTACGAAAAGACGGTAAGCGAATCTAGTGCTGCACTCACGTGTCCAGTACCAGCTACACAAGCCTCGATGGACGAGGCCATTCGGGTGTCGCAGATTGACACGAGCGCTCAGCTTTCTCAAGAAACGCTGAACGCGTTGTTCGGCTCGTCGAGCGAGTCGGACGATGATCTCGATCAGTCAGTGGTGACAAGGGCATTCGTCACGCAACTTAGCGACCTTCACGCTGATGAATCACATCGAGATGCGGCTGCAAGCTTGCATATCCTGTCGAAGGCGTCTGGGGTAGAGAGCGAGACAGAGCAAGATATTGTGCCAGCTACTGCAGACCG